GCGGCGGTGGCGCGGCGGTCGGGCGCGTAGCGCAGGGCGGGCAGGAGGAAGCTGGCGAAAGGAGCGACCTCATGTTTTGTCCAGTTGTGTCTGTCGGCCAAGATGGTGTGGAGACTGCGGGGAGAAAGTCTGGAGATCCGCAGGAGAGCGCCTGGCAAAGGCAGCGTGAGCACAGTACCTCAGTGACACCTGCAAGATGGGGAGGCCACCGCTCCTCGCCTCGCATGGCCCACCCAAAGCACCTCGAAGGATCCCTTCCTTCACCTTTGAGCCTTCCTCTCTCTGAGAGCATCACCTGTGCTGCCCCTTGCAGGTTTGGCTCGCGGGTGTTTCTCAGAAAGCACCTTTCCAAGCTAGTGTTTGGAGTCTCCCTGTTCCCGAGTACTTCTTAGATGAGAGTGTGCCAAGAGCAAATGAAGTGTTCCCAGAATAGCTGTGCCAAAGCCATTGCTGCCCATTCCCCCTGCCTGTCCACATGCAACCCAGAACGCATCAGGCTGTTTCAGAGTTCGTAAGACACTAATGTTAATTTGTTTTGTGCCTACTAGCTCCGTGGGGCCGAGAGCAGTGCCACTACCGACTGAGAAGCTGCCCTCGTCCCCAGGAGTACACAGTGTAAATGCAGCGATTCAGGTTAGGCCAGTTTGGTTCACATGAAGCATGAATATAGAACAAGAACTAGCTTTGACTCGTTTCTTTTGAGCACCATAGAAGGAATAAGTGTGAGCAAAGGATGTGAATGTGCAGGGAGGTGCTTGTTGAACTGCAGCATGGGACTGGCGCTCAACGCTGAGTGAATTGTGGGTAGGCTGAGGCTGTGTGGCTGGTGAGCGTGAAAGCAAAGAGGGTGATAGACTAAATTGTGGAAGGATGGAGTCATGTGATGCCTTGAAGTCAAAGACAAGGATTTCAAGCCTAATGAGTCAAAGGGAAAAGAGTTGGGGAGAATAAAACAGGAGAGACGTTTACAGTTGAGCCAGATGACTAAATATAGCAGCCACATTGGAAGGATATGAGTGTCCCATTCCTGATTAGCGTTGTTCTCTGCCAGTGAACGGGTGAAATCCAGCCCGTTACACACTTGAGCCTTCCTGGCATGTAGCTGTTTCCTGTCCCTATTTCCATTCTTACCAAATCCAAAGGAGAAAGAATGGACATGTTTTCCGTGTTGGGTGTTTGCTGTGACCATTTTCCAGGAGTTTGCTTTCATCCCTGGAATGCTCCTGGATTGCAAATGTGGGCAGGGCAGGGAGTGTTAGTGCTCTTTATGAAACCTCTGCTTCTCTTCTGTCCCTGCCTGTAGCCTGCGTTGTGTAACATAACTTTTTGGGGTTTTCAGTGTGAGCTGAGTAGGAGTGTGTTGGAGATCCACAGTGGTTTTTAAAGTAAAATTCCTTACTCCAGTTCTTACCTGGCCTGCTGAAAAATTTTGTTGACTTGTTCCAGGAGAAAGCAATTTGAGGAGGAATTCTTCCCAGGAGTTCAATAATACGAGCAACATGATCTAGACAGAGGAAGGGAAAACACAGCTAGATACAAAGATTGTGACACTTCTGACAGTGAAATGAATAAAACTGATGGAGTCCTACCATCATCTCTGGAGAAATATTTCCCAGGTTGAGGATCAAACAGACACTCCCCAGTTGCCATTTCAAATGCCTAGAAATGGAGTGGCATTGCAGATTCATTAACTCACTTTGAGTTTTTCTTCCCCGTTAACTCTGATAGTACCAATTTCCCTTGCTATCGCACAAAACTGATCCTAAAACTATGGAAATATTCACGCTGCTTTGATCTGTACCGTGGTGAAACAGCACCTTTGGCTCCATCAGGATGAGCAGCAGCGTGTGCCTGATTCGGTCAAGCCTGTGAGTTAACATACAGGGAGTGTGAATTGCCTTGTCGCTTAAGCTAATTAAGAGTGAACTGTATCAGCAGCGTGCTTTCACTCCAAAGTGACTGAGTGCAGACAGCCCCTTTTCCTCCTCAGCAAGGCAGTTGTGCTTTACATGCAGCGGGTATAAGGGAGTGCTGAGGACACGCTGCCCCCAGCCTGTCGGTGTCTGTCACCTCCCGTGCGCACGCGTTGTCCCCAGCCCTACCAGGCAGCCCAGGCTCCAGATGTCCGCAGGAGTGCCGTAGTCTAGTCCAAGCAGCACTTCCAGGGCACGGTATGGCTGGGTCTGTATCTCCTTGGAAAAAGGCTTGTACTGAAACAGAAAGAACCTCCCTTTGGTCAGCGTCCGTAAGCGAGTAACAGCGGTGCTTGTGGTCACAGCCTCCCCGCAGGGTGAGGAGCAGGGCACTGCGGGGCAGAACTGAGCACAGGGCACTCGGGGCATGGCGGGCACGTTCTCAGTCCCGCTGACACCAGGGTGAATTTTATCTCCCAACATTTTACACTGAACACGTGTTTGAACTTCTAATTGTAGGGACTAACTGCAAGCTGAAGAAACAACCGAAGTTGACAGCGTCTCCAGGAGTCCAGTGCCCAGCTCTGAGCTGGGAGTGATGAATGTAACACCCCCCTGAAACAGGCATTTCTTCAGCATGCTGAGAGAGCTATTCAGCTGCAAAAGGACAGACACGCAGCGAGGCACGGAAAGAAGCACACGGCATCCTGCAATTGTGGGACAGACTCAGAGCAGACTCACTGTCCAGCACGCGCTGCCCAGATCTGCAATTTTCACTTCTATGCCCATTAAATCAGATTCTTCCAGTCGGTTCCCAAGATCACCTAGATGGGAAGGACAGAGAGATATCAGGTCTTTCTGAACTAACAGGTATGCATCACTTACCACAGGAGGGGTGTCTATGCCTGCCTTTAAAGTTTTTCACCCTAAAAGGTCCTAAAATGCTTTTTATCATCAATAAAATGCCATTTTTGTCTTTTGAGGAAACACAAAGGAAGAGCTGGTATCCAGTCAAAATGTAAGAGCACATTTGGGAGGACAGTAGCTTGGACCGGAGGTGAGGTTCCTCTAGCACTGGGGCTAAATTATTGTGGGCCCAGAGGAGAGCACGTCCTACCAGCACTAGTCAGATACAAAACATCTGTCGTGCCTCCTTACCCTTCAGCAATCCTGGCTGTCACGGACCTTGGAGTGTAGAGGTTACGTTTTCGTCTAACCCCGGAAAAGGGTAGTTTTTGGTTTAGTGCTTTACAGTGAGCTGTCAGTCGGTGCCTAATATTGTGCCTGTCTGCTCAAAGCAAAAGATTTGGTCACTAATTTAGCATTCCCTGATTGCCCCAGAGTTTGAGAGACAAAACAGCGCTGTCAAGGGAGAAATGCTCATGGGAGAGCATCGTGTGAGAATAATATAAAGGGTCTCATTGCTGGGAGATGAGCTGATCTCTCGAGAAATGCTCCAGCCCTATGTCTTATTCGCTATTCACACCATTCTCCGCAAATAAATTGTGTCTCAAAAGGCCTTGAAGATTAGCAGTACGTACAAGTCTCCTACAAACCTCAGAAATGTGGGAAATACAGAGCAGAAGTGTCGTACAGCTTTCTGATCAAACCATTTTGTATGTAAACCTTTCAGCAACTGGAAACACCAGACACAAGGGAACTACCCTGTACCTAAAGCTGTAAGAATGAGCTCCGAGGTCGTGGTGGGGCTGTTCACAATGAGCTCCAAGGTCGTGGTGGGGCTGTTCACAGATGCCCGTGATCTGTAGTTGTCCTCCACACAAACCTACCTGCCCGACCACGTTTCTGTAGGTGCCTTGAGCAGCCTGTAGCCGCTCAGCCTGGTGTTTGTATTAAGCAGAGACAGGAGAGGCCTCTCACCAACGTAAGCTGGGTGTGCTGTTTTGTACCAGCTGTTGCAGGAGATGGGAACCTTTCCCAAGATGTCTGTACCTGCTGCCTCTCTGTTTGCCTCCTGGCCATAAACACACCAGTCCCTTTTCTTGTTAACCCCCCCCTGGAGTGCTCACCTGGTCCCTTGAGCCTCAGACCCGTTCTCTGGCCGCAGTCGAGCATATCGGGCAGGAACCTTTGGAGGCTTTTGCCATGTCCGTGCAGCAAGACGTTCTCTGGCTTGATGTCCGCGTGGATGATACGGCAGCGCTTGTGGAGGAAGTGCAGCCCTGCCAGCACCTGGGCGAGCAGGCGGCAAGTCCCGTCAGCCATGCCAGGGACCCCACCGCCTCCCCTGCCCCAGCAGCTGCCAGGGCTGTCAGAGCAGTCAGGCCCAGCGGGCAGGCAAGCTGTGGACCTTCTGGCGTGGAAGAAAGGGGTCACTGATGACAACTGTCTGCAGTAGATTGTTTCCGTGTGGCGGGTGCCCTGTACTAAGCTGGAGGTGCGGCCAGCAGAGTGGTGGCGTTGGTTGGGGTGGCCCCGTGGGAGCCGGCACAGGGGGTTTCGTCGCACCACACGGCAGGAGGAGCAGGAGCCACAGCCCCACGTGCCCAGCGAGAGGGGGGCCTGGAGAGCCCAGTGGGGAAGGGGCTGTTTGGGGGAGGTGGGGTGACATGCAGCAGAAGGCAGCGTGAAAATCCACAGGTACCAGTGTGGATGGGCAAGCCTGGGGAGGTGGAAAGAGGACAGGGCTACGAGGAGGCATTGCGATCGCAAAGCTGAACTTCCTCCTGAAAAACCACCCCTGTCTGAATGGCTGTTACGCCCTCAGACCACCGTGCCCTCCGCCCTTCAAATGGGAGTTGGGGACTGGTTATAGAGTAACAGGGCATGGGAGGACGTCCCGTCGTACAGGGAAAGAAAAGGAGGTGCAGCAGGGAGGAGGGAGAGACCTTGAGTGAGTGCGTGCGG